TACAAAATGTCTTATAGATTCGTGTTTAGGTATTATAATATAAAGTGAAAGTCATTCACTCACTCACTGAGATTTGTGTTTAGACTCTATCCTCCCGAATTCTTGTCTTCTACTCAACAATTGGGTCATCATAATCAATTACTGTGAGACACTCTGTACTGGTGACCAATTGTTTGATAGCATCAAAGGCCTGGTGGTGTTCTGGAGTCCAGATGGGGAATTGGCAGTCACATTCTTTCATAGTTAGGTGGGTAAGGACACTGGTGTGTTCTGCTAAGGCAGAGAGGAATGCCAAGATGGAGTCCCAGAAAACCCTGGACATTCATGGGTGTGGTTGGCTGGGGCCAGTTGGTGATGTGTTCTGTCTTCTGGGCATTTGGGCAGATGCCTTCTGAGGAGATGTGGTGTCCAAGGAAGGAGAGCTCCCTAGCAAAAAGGACAGACTTGTTGGGATTGCAATACAACTTGGCAGCATGCAGTGCCTGTAGTACTTCTTGTACATTGAATTTATGTTCTTCCAGTGTCTTTGACCATATAATGATGTCATCCAGATATACATGGCAGATCTTCCCGAGTAAGTGACACAGTGCATCTGTCATATGCCATTGGTGTGTGGATGGTGCATTGCACCCTCCCATTGGCCTGATGGTCCACTCATACAGTGCCCAAAGGGTGTGTATAGCTATCAGGTGGATGTCTTTGGGGTGCACCCTGGTCTGGAAAAAGGAGTTTGTCATGTCTAATTTACCAAATATCACACCCCACCCACAGTCTGACAGAATATCATCAACCTGGGGCAGTGGGTAGTTGTCCCAGATGGTGTTCTTGTTGAGCTCCCACTAATCATTAACCCATCATGGTGGTATGTCGAGAGCAGGTATGCCATTGCAGTATTTAGGCACACAGAATGCTGGGGATGCATATGCAGAGGATGATGGTCATATTCACCCTGCTGCTAGGTGTTCCTCAAGGAGTATTTTCCAAGAATCATGAAATTTTTCTTTGCTGTGGAATACCCTCATCGAGTCATTATCTTAGAAGGGTCTTTCAGATGTATGTGGTGGTGTATGTGGGTCAGCAAATCAGACATACAGTGGGTCAAAAACTGCCCCAATGTTTGTGCATTTTAGAAAGATTGATACTGTGTGAAGGAATGACATCAGCGAAAATTCTGAAAGATTCACATGATATACTAGAACATGTTGGCTATCTACCAACTTAAGAAGTCATGTGATTCCAATCAAAACTCATTGCTTAATAAATCAAACAAAATAATCACTCATTGGGGCAGTTTTTTGACCCTCTATTATTTTCTCTGATTTTCAATATTACACACCAGTATAAGGTAGGAGTGGATCATATGAATCATCAACATGTCATGTGACCTTATTTGTATCAATTTGGCATGCTGAACTTTGTTCATTCATCTCCTTGACTCCTTACCACCACTATGAAATCCATCTCTGCAGAAAAGCATTCTTCTGTTATTTTTCTTCTCAATGAGGGGTATTCCCAGTGTCAAATTCAAGCTAAAACTGGTCTAGGAAAGGGTACTATTGGCAGAATCAGTAGGAAGGTAGAGGGGGATAAGGAAAATCATCCTGGTGGCCATTCTTCCAAGCTTTCCCCTTATGATAAACAGTCAATTATCCATTAAATCAGCTCTGGGAAGCTTGACAATCCTGTCCAAGCCACCCAATTTATAAATTCCATCATATCTACCTCTGTCACTCCTCAGACTGTTAGGAATGTGTTGAAGGAAGCTGGCTTTAGGTCAGCAACAAAGAAGAAAGTCCCTATGTTCAAGGGGTCTCATCATCAGCAACATCTAAAGTTTGCCCAATACCATGAAAATTGGACTATGGAGGACTGGAAGAGGGTGTTGTGGACTGATGAGACAAAAATTAATAGGATTGGGTCAGATGGGAAGGTATATGTTTGGAAGCAACAAGGGGAACCAGTATCAGACAGGACCACCACACCAACTATCAAACATGGAGGGGGGAATAACTTGATGGTTTGGGGGTGTATGGGCTGGAATGGGGTAGGGAAGCTGATAGAGGTGCAGAAGAACATGGATACAGTGCAGTATTATGAGAGTTTGGAGGAGGGAGTAGAGGAGAGCATTGAAAGTTTGGAGATGGCTGAGGATAAGTGGTACTTCCAACAGGACAATGATCCAAAACATACCTCAAAAAAGACAGACCAGTGGTTATCTGACAATAACATCATTCCCATGAATTGGCCTGCCCAATCCCCTGATCTAAATCCCATTGAACACCTCTGGCAACACCTCAAGGCCAAACTCCAACAATATGACATATCACCCAAAGGAGTACATAAATTATGGGACAGGGTGGCAAAGGAGTGGACTGAAATACCACCAGAGACATGTCAGAAGCTAATAGAAAGCATGCCTAGGAGGATACAGGCAGTTTTAAAGGCAAAAGGGGGTCATACAAAGTATTAGATTGTAAAATAATAGAGGGTCAAAAAACTGCCCCAATGAGTGATTATTTTGTTTGATTTATTGAGCAATGAGTTTTGATTGGAATCACATGATTTCTTAAGTTGGTAGATAGCCAACATGTGCTAGTATATCATGTGAATTTTTCAGAATTTTTGCTGATGTCATTCCTTCACACAATATCAATCTTTCTAAAATGCACAAACATTGGAGCAGTTTTTTGACCCACTGTATCTGGTAACCTCAAGGGAAATTAGTCAGTGAAGGTAGCCTTCAACTCGGCATCCTTTTCTGCTAACACTTCTTGTAAGGTGAGCCTCTTGATGGTTTCACACACCGCAGCCATAATGGGAACAGGTAGCAGATACCCAGCTAGTGGTGGTTCTGAAGTCTCCCTGCTCTGAGTGGCCTGTGGTGCTTTGTGATGTGGGTTTGTAGGGGTTGCCAGTTGTTTCCTCTGTTTGAGGCTCTTGGGGCTGACAATGTCATAATTTATCCACTTGTCACATGCTGTTTGCTTGATAGTGTCAATCACTATGGAGCATATCTGAAAACTATTAAGTATACCAAATTCTAATATACTCTAAAGATCATTTAAACATCTGGGATGTGTTTCAAACATATGTAATTTGGTTTTTAAAACTTTGAAAATGTTTAAAACTTATTTGTATATTGTGAAACAAAGCATCTTTCAGGACCTGAATAGATTATGAAAGAGTTTAGTAGATCAAAACATTAAGACTTTCAAAAAGTATATCCTTTTAAATGGTCCATTTCATGCATATATTGTATATGTTATTGACATCTCTAAATACATATGTATTACATTGGAATGGGTCTGTCAATCTGAACAGATTTCTACTTGATTCAACATACCTGGAATATATAGGTGGCTTCACTTAATAAAGAAAGCCATGGGATGAAAAATTTCCAATGATATCTCACATATTTTACTAGGAAATAACTACAGTTTAGCTTTTAAAGACAAAGTACCAACAAAAGTATTACCAAGTATTTACATAGCTTGAAAAATTATATACAATAGGTTCTATTAATTGACTCTGAATTGTTTAGGATGTAATATGGGTAGGTCTAATTACACCCCCATATATCAGTGTTGGAGTGCCCTGACAAAGGTCAGACAGAAATAATTGTTCTATCAATCCCCCATCTATATTCATCGACTGATATGTTATTTCGTTCCCAAAATTAAAGGCCCCACCGGTGCCAAGAATGAGTCGCCTCCGAACAGTGAATACCGAGAATCCTAACCAAAGAATGACCAGCCCCGACATAATGATAAAGCGAAAGTTGCACAACTATTAGAATGGGTATATAATGCCCATGTACGTGAGCCATTGACACAAATAGGATTGCATGATTGCATGATTGTACATAAGAGGGAGGGTTTGCTTCGTAGCACTCGCTAACTCAGCTACTTTTACTCCTCCACCCGCAACATCTCGTCAATCTGTCTGCCGGCTCCCAGCAAGGTTCTACCGGCGGTTCCACACTGTCCTTATCGTCACAAGATGTCAGAAACGCCTCAACGAACAACCCGTCGGCTCCCAGGGCTTCTGCCTCTACCTTCCAAACCAGCGGGATGATCCATGCTGGTCGGAGGGCTCCTGCAGTCTCGTCAGGACGGGGAGTAACGCTAATCGGTCCATCCGGACGACCAAAGCCCATGGTGGTGGCGCGGAGGTGGATAGGGTGCTCGGGTGGGGATAGAGCGCATGGTATATGCCCCAAAGTCATCCCCAACCATCATTATGTTGACCATGCGATCACGTTCAGGACATCCTGGGTGCTCGCGATGCTACTCGTTCCATTCGTCATCACATATAAAAGACCGGCCGCTACCGCGAGAGATCATCTTCCCGTATCTCTAGACGTTGTTCGTTCGGCGCACCGACGACAATACATGGACCGGTGGATAAATGTGTGTTGAGAACAAAGGTACCTATGTACAGGTGATGGCAAGCTCAAAGTCATTAACTCACGGATGTTATCGTTGCTGCCTCATGAGATTATTGGTCACCATGGCTCCACTAGAGAATGCCCGAATGCCTAGCGTTCAGTGGGGATTGGCGTTGTTTAATTAAGGAAGACAGACAATATTTTGAGGAACGCACCATGGATAACACGCGCATATATCGTGTCAAACGTCTTACAAAGATGGATGTCGTCTTTTCGTGTTTTATCGACCTACTATTGAAGGTCACGATCCTTCAGGTCTCTCAAGATATCGGGATTCCGAACGAAACATCCTTGTAATTCTGCATCGATAGACTGATAGTCTGGGTGGAGGGCTGCCGCTAACAACGAATGTAAGTACAACCGACAATGCATGGTGTAAAGTCACTTTATACTTATGTAATCAAGGCCATTTGAAGGTAATGATCCCCGAGGACCATAGCCTACAGCGGGGCTTACAACTTCGAACATGCCCTGCTCTCTAACGCAGTGATAATAAAACTCGAGAGGTTTCTTGTGGTCCAGAGACCGCGGTGTTAAAAGTGTAGAAAATGAATGGCCAGACTGGGAATTGAACCCAGGCTTCTGCATATACAGCAGGGGTGTTAACCATTACACCACCTGACCCTGGGAAGCACTGCTAGCATTACTCAAACTAACACACTCCCTTAATGCTAGCACTCAACTATACTATAAGCAGATATAGGTCCTCTCTGGCTCTTTTGTCCAGACTTGTCCACTATACCACACACAAATATAGCTGTTCACTCTACACACAGGAACCATGCCCTATAGCACACAGCGGGGCCCATAACCTGTTAAAAGTGTAGAAAATGAATGGCCAGACTGGGAATTGAACCCAGGGCTTCTGCATATACAGCAGGGGTGTTAACCATTACACCACCTGACCCTGGGAAGCACTGCTAGCATTACTCAAACTAACACAGTGTAGCACCTCCTGACAATATAGGTTGGATGCTCTGGGAGGTGTATAGTGGTTCTGACACACATTAACCTCCAAAAGCATGGTCCACAATTAGCATCTTCATATGAAAAGTTGCAATAATTGGTGGACTCCCCCTATAAAAAGGTGTGTTTCATCATCAAATTTAACACGCGATGAACGGACCCATCTTGAGCATCTCTGTCACAATGTATCCGACCATGTTCCCGATGTCGGGGGTACCGGACCAGAAACCACGGTACACATGCCCTGGTTCTATACTTCTCATCAATCCGGGAATCTCAAACCACAACAACCCGTTACCAAAACACTTTGGCGTTCCCTCGGCGCTTATGTGCAAATGGCCGACATTCTAGGTCCTGTCGAATGGTCATGCCAATACGCCCGAGGAAGATGGTACATCGGGAACTCAAGAAGTCCCTCGTTCCCTGCCGAGGTCAGATTCGCAGCTTCGCTTTGAGAACGTCATCGCCATGGTAGCACCAACCATGCTACATATTCCCACAGACAACTTGGAGGTCTATTCTCCCCGTCCGTACGGTGACCTTCAAACGAATCGGATCATCGCCAGTAGATTGTGGTCTGTATACTCGGTCCATGTGCAAAATAGCAGATTACGAGGATGGTTTGTTGGTTCCCATGATAACCAGTTCAAGTCGGATGGCGGTTGAAGATGCTTCTTTGGAAGTTTGCAGAAGCAGTTGGAGAGGTAGGTGTAAGGAATTTGGGGTGATAGAAATAATTTCAACTCACTTATATCATTATAATTATATCCAAGGCCGTCTTATACGGCAGCTCGATGGAAGGTCAAGGATCAATTGCAAGCATAGAAGACACCGGTCCATTCAAGGAGACGCAAAGTCCATCCCAATTGTCTGCTGGTTGAGAATTGATTTAAGGATGCAAGGACAAGGAGTTGGATCAAAGATGACGACAAACATCTCTGGCGAGTTGCGTATGGGTCGAAGCCTGGCATGTCTCTCGAAGAGCACAAGGCAGAAGCCCAACAACGCATTCTCCACTTGTTGCCGGATAGAAGTATTGGATGCAAGGTCGTACATATTAGCCCGTCCAAAATACACCAACGATGCGCTGCACAGCTGCGTGCAGGAAGAGTATTGCTAATTGGAGATGCGGACCATTCAAATAATTCTATTGATAAGGAAAAAGAGATTCAGCGATCTATTTGCTTTCTGATGAGAGAGTAGGTGGTCTAAGACTCACTGCGGGTCTTCTGGACGCCGGTCCTTTGGGCCGAGCATTGTCAGCAGTACTACAGGGACGAGCCTC